AGGTGAAATGCTAAATGATTCACTACACTCTCTCTCATGCCGTTGTTGCCTTGAACAGCTCTTGACTCTGCCCTTTGCTGCCGCTCCCTGGAGCTCGCGTGAATTGTGACTCGGGGCAGAAGACATGTGACGCTCAGAGGATGCCAGTCCCCGGGGAACGCAGACAAACATAGTCACAGCTTCTGTGGCACCTCCGAGACCCCAGACTGCTGAGTCTCCCACATCTCTTATCGTAACATTAAGAGCTGCCTTGTAGTTCACCCGAGGACATTGTCCAGGGAAATCATAGAATAGTTATCAGCGCTATTACATTTTCTCCAGCACCTTTCATCCCAGAGGATCCCAAAAGGCTTTGCTAACAAAATGTCTAGGGAGATTTTACCCATTTCTAAAACCAAGCTGCCGTCCTTCCCTTTTTCTCTGCCCACACCCCTTCCACTCACCTTCCCCAGTCCACTCCTGCCTGAATTGTTATGACCCCTCATCACTTACCAAGTAACCTGGCTGTAGGAGTTTTCTGTGGCCACTGTAACAAGTTACCACAAACTTGGCAGCTAAAACAATACACATTCATTCTCTTACAGTTTGGGAGGTCAGAAGTCCTGAATGGGTTTCACTGAGCTGAAACCAAGGTGTAGCAGAGCCGTGTTCCCTGCGGAGTCCCCACGGGAAGATCCATCTCTGTGCCTTTTCCCACTTCTAGGGGTGTACTCACTGCACGCTGCAGCTCACGTCCCCTCCTGCCCTCTTCGTAGCCAGCAGCTTAGTGTCTCTAATTCTCTGTCCAATCTCTGTATTGCCTTCTCTTTGCTGTCAAACCTCCCCTGCCTCCCTCTTCTAAGGACATTTATGATTACATTTTGGGACAACCTGCATAATCCTGGATAATCTCCTTATTTCATCTACAGTGTCCCATTTGCTACATAAGGTAGCATTCACAAGTTCCAGAATTTAGGGCCTGGATATCCCTGGGGACAATTGTCCAGCCTACCGCACCTGGCAATGAAGGTCTTTTCACCTGACCAGAGCCAACATCTAACTTCCCACATGTATGCCACAGCCACACTGGGCTGCTCAGTTCTGTTCAGAAACTTTTGCACGTTCCTGCTTTTGTGCCTTTGCTCGTGATTTTTTCTTTCTTTGGACCAGAGAGGCTTCCTTTCCTCCATGACACCCTGCTCTCTTTGCTTACCCCAGCTGGAACAAATCCCTCTGCAGTGTGTGGCATTCCTGTGGTCATGCTTCCTTTTCATGGGTAAGGTGTTCTCTTGCTCCCCCGCTAAGCTGCACACTCCCTGCATGCCAGGACCCTCCATCCCATGCAGGACTCACTGCAGTGTCTCCACACAGAGAGCCATTAGTAAATGCCACATAAATTATTTCTATGGGAATGATAGGACAGGGAGGTTTTCAGGTTGATTCCATAGCCTATGCTTCTGACATTCAACACATATTTATTATTCATTAAAAAATATTTATTGAGTTCTTCCTCTGATTCCAGACCAATTCACAGTGATAAAGAGGTATGCCTTAGCGCTTAAGGAATTAAAGGCCTCGAGGGCACTCTGGACGTGAAGCAAGCTACTGCCAGTGCGTCCACTGCTAGGTGAGAGGGAAGCTCGGTGCTGGAAGACCATACAGCAGAGGGCCTATCTGGCCTCACGGTGAGAACTGATGGAAACTAATCCAGCAATTAGAGATCCTACTGAAAGAATAATCGCAATATTATCATTTATAGCAAAGATCCACCTTCCATTTGCATAGTCCTTTTTATGAGGTGTGACCACAATATAATAGAGTGATTTTTGAAAAACAAACATAACAAATTATATTACAGGGAATCTCAGTGTTGGAACGGACCTTAAAGGTCATATTGTCCGACTCTCCCTCTGATGCAGCTATTTCCCCTGCAATACACCCAGGGAGTGCTTGTCTGGATTCTGCTTGAAAATCTCCAAGGAGTGTTGTTTTTCAAAAATGTCACCTTGGATTCTATGTGTACATTAGAGAATATAGAGGAAAGAGGGCACCTTATCCTTACTATCTACACACATATATACTTATATATCCATATACATAATCTGTGTATTATCAACGTATAAAATTTGTATCTCTCTCTATATATATATATAAAGATAAAAAGGGCACTTCAAACAGTTCATGGGAAGATTTGTATTATCTTTTAATTTGAAATGTTCTCATAAATGTGTGTGTGTGTGTGTGTGAGAGAGAGAGAGAGAAACAGTTGTGTTGCAATTCTGCAATTCTAAGACAGAAGCTCCAAACATATTTTGGAAAAGAGCATTATTATTGGAACCCATTAGGACACATGTTTCCTCTCTCAAAGTGACTAATTTGACCAGGAACACACACATGCATAAAAAGGTCTGGAAGTATTTAAAATTATTTTTTTTATGATTATTCTAAAACAATTTCACAGGGATAACATCCACACACCAGCTTTTCTCCTTTTCTAAGTCGGAGGTACATGTTATTTATTTATTTATTTATTTTTGAAGGTGACTGGTAAGGGGCTCTTAACCCTTGACTTGGTGTTGTCAGCACCACGTTCTCCCAAGTGAGTGAACTGGCCATCCCTATATAGGGATCTGAACCTGTAGCCCTGGTGCCATCAGCACCACACTCTCCCAGGTGAGCCACAGGCTGGCCCCCCAGAGGTACATGTTAAAAATGAGGGTGGTTTAGCAAAAAGACTGAGTCTTGGACAGACATGAGATCAAATCCTGGCTCTCCTACCTAGAAGCTACATGGCCTCAATGAAGTTATTTAATCCCTCTTGAGGATCAATCTCATCTGTAAAGTTAAGCTAGTAACATTTCCTTAATAGGACAGTTGTAAAACATAAATATTTTTCTTACATAACAGGAACTCAAGTTATTTTCTACCCTTTTGTGAGGAAATTGGGATGGGTCTTATATCTAGTTTTGTGATAAGTAAAATAAGAAATAAAAATGTAACACGATTTTCGTAAGATTCCATAATTTTCTAAATACATAGGCTGGGTTCGTTGTTTCAGATATATCATTCTTTTTCTTGGTCCCAAAAGATGTACATTGTTTTTTGTTTTTTTAAATGGAGGAATGCAAATGCGTATCTACATGCACCTACATTTTTATCATTGCCAACACTTTGTCTGACTTTTTAGCATGTACATTGACCTATTCAAAAACCTAAGGTGGAATGTACTGCGACCTTCTTTTTTGAAATCAGAACCTATATCAGATGGCATCAGAGAGGAGCATATTTTAATACAAAGGTACATCTTATGATTTTTAGGGTGCTCTGATGGTACATAAAAGCTCACCTGAAGTTAATGTCTTCTCTTTGACTTCTATCCCTGTAGAAGTTAGTATTACTATGGGGCTGTTCCCTGTCCCTCCACCTGCCTGTAATTCACTGAGCCCTTGTCACCAGCTGCTCAGGTTATGTGAACCAGCTCCAGCATCAGAGACGAAGGGTTGCTTTATCATAAGTCAGGATTCAGTTAGGGAATCAGAGTCACTATAAATGTTGTGGGATAAGAGATTTATGATGACAATGATACTGAGATAGGAGGTGCTCAGTTTCCATGGATTAGGGTTACAAGACACACCTCTGGGTTTCAAGCCACTCCACAGTGTCTCAAGCTCCTCCTCTAGGCCCTCTCCTAGAGGAGAGCTACAGTAGCTTATTGCACCTATTTTCGGTACCAATATGGGGAGTTTGAGACCACAAGGGACAGACTTATGCAAAACCAGCGGCTGAGCATTCTCAGTAGAAAGAAATTAGACATAAACCTAGTAGCTGAACATGCTCAGTAAAGTGGAATTTATCCTTTGAATGACTTTCCACCAGAGGCACTAAAGAGCACAGAATATTCTTGAACCTATTTGGTGCATGTGATAGAATTTGACTAATGAGCATTCCCTAAAAGGAGACAAATTGAGCATGTGCAGAACTATTACATAACCTGTCACATAACTGGAAACCACCTCCCTTAGTTGAATATTCATTAGGTAGCATGAATATGTATTAGATAGCAAAACTATAGAAGTGTGATCCCAGTAGGAGGCTGGGCTATTGCTCACTCTCCTGGAGCCAGCCCACACTCTGCCTGAGGTGAGTAGTTCTTACTTTTTGTATCCAACTTGCCTTTAGCAGGCTGTGCTCTCTCTAGCGCCAGCCTGAACTCTGTAAATGTGTATTTCTTACTTTTGTATTATACTTGGTGTGGGCCCTGCTCAGTCGCTGGGGCATGCTGCACTCTCTCTGTGAAATCTGTATCTCTTATTTGTTACATTAAACCTGTTCTCACTTGCTAATGTGACTCTGCTCTTGAATTCACCCCTGTGGTGGAATTAAGAACATGGGAAGAGGACGGGGTGGGTTGAGGCTGACTATCCGGCCTCCCCAGACTCTCCTCCAGTTTTAATACCTTACACAATTGGGAAGGAACTGGGAAAGTGAAGGTCCACAGAGGGAGTTGGAGGGACAGAAAATGAGTCAGCAGCCACTGGACAATCTGAGAATATGTCCAGCCTCCGAAGTGGAACTGCAAAGGGGATCTCCAGGAGGACTACAGGAAATGTTGCCTGTACGCAGCCAGGTGTCCAGGGGTGCGCCTGAATCTGCTGCTGGTCAGTAGGGCCAGCAGTGGAGGAAAAGGGCTGGATGTGGAGCACAGGAGAATGACAACAGGATGGAACCTGCTGGGAGACTCTGCATGTGTCCGTCACCATATCCGATATGGCAGCCTCAGAGAACATTAGTTGCTGTTTCACTTTGTACCGTTTGAATCTTGTGCAAATTCTTCTTTTGGCCAATTTTTTAACTTGAAAATATATAGAGAAGAAATTCTGGGATGAGTTGTTTCAGTTTCGCCAAGTTGTCACAGAATAATCCATCATCATCGCTTACTAAAAAGACAGACAGAAAAGGAGGTCTGTTGCTTTTTTTCCCCGCCCGCTCCCCCCTCTCTCCCCGAGCGCCGCCGTCGTCTCCCTCCGGCCGCCATCATGATCATCTACCGGGACCTCATCAGCCACGATGAGATGTTCTCCGACATTTACAAGATCCGGGAGATCGCGGACGGGCTGCGCCTGGAGGTGGAGGGGAAGACGGTCAGTAGGACGGAGGGTAACATTGATGACTCGCTCATTGGTGGAAATGCCTCCGCTGAAGGGCCCGAGGGCGAAGGTACTGGAAGCACAGTAATCACTGGTGTTGATACTGTCATGAACCATCACTTGCAGGAAACTAGCTTCACGAAAGAAGCCTACAAGAAGTACATC